AAAAAAAAAAAAAAAAAAAAAAAAAAAAAACAGAAGAAAACGATCAACAGAAACAAAGTGAAAAAAAAGTAGCACAAAAATCAAAAGTGCGGAAATAAATGTCTTTCTCTTTTGAGCTTTATAAAAACAGAATTCAAATAATAAGAGATACGTTGAGGAAGTTGTGCATTATAGCTCATTTTAAAAATTTTATCACAATTAATACCCTAAACAACTTAAATAAATTATAAAATGTAAAAACCATTGTCAATGCTGAGCTCAGTGTTGAAAAGGCCTAAAATTAAACAAAAAAAATTTTAACTTTAGCAGACAAAAGATGCAAATATAATTTGCTTCACCAGTACCATGCAAAACTGAAGTTCCCAGTCAATTTTAATATCCTATCACAAGCCACTTCTGTTTTAACAAGACAAATTTGAAAATGCGAATAACAGTGTTTTTCTACACTAAAAAAAAATCTTTTAACAAATGTTTATAGATGTGGACTATTTCTCGCAGAAGATGAACGATAATTTACACCCTTCCGTCCACGCAAAGATGGAATCCGTGTTGGCCTTTCAGAAAAGTCCGAAGATTCCGAACAACGACTTGACGGCCGAAGCATGTCATAAATTTCACCCCGCGAGTTAGAACGCGAAATGTTATTTGAAGCTAGGCCTTTGCCTATTTTTCCGTCTGCAAAAACCAATTATATAGCTGCAGAGAGGAAGCAGGATATAATTTGAAAGTAATAAATCTTGTTGGCTTATAAAGTAAGTTTTCAATCAAAGTAAAAACCTTGCAAACTGACGTCGCTGGTCCTACGTGGTAAAAGAGATCCCTCATTTAATGAGATTTGTGATGAATTTGGAGTTCGCTTACCGATGTGCATCGGAACGCTACGTTCAGTTTTCTCCCTTATCTGTAGATGCGACTTTATCAGACTTTGAAATTATGATCTCAAACAGTCTAGAAAAATTAATATTCCAAATACTCCGTACCTTTGTGATTGGTCCAGGAGTGCCTGAGTAACGATTGTAGTAACTGATTTCACCAGCTACCGTCACTGGTGAAGCACGGTTAGATGCTGAACGAGATTTTGTAAATGTCTCCATTGAATCATGCGCATTTATAGGTCGAACATCATTATAAAATCCGCGTTGTAAGTCTATGTTTGTTCTTCCTTTTGCTAAAAAACTCAAAAAAATAAGACTCTTAAAATATGAAAGTATGAAGCTACTGGCTAGCCAGAGGTAACCGCGATTACCATAAGCAAATGGTATATTTATAAGAACCGAATCATTACTTTTTTCAGCCAATAACAGAGAAATTGATGCATTTATTACACATACCTCTGCAAGGATCATGCTTGTGAAGGAATTCGTCGAGTGCTACCCAGCCTCCTCCCACACGTACCATGACCGTAAATCGTAGAATACGAACCATCCGCTTTATCTGAGTGTCACCAAACTGAAAATTAGACCTTGTAACCAACAAATCTTAGTAAAAAAATAAAATAGACAAATTTACCCTGTAATGTCCTTCTCCGACTTTCTGAATTCTATAGGGAGTATGGCAACTGCATTTTTCACTCTGTCGTTGTACCTCCTCGTTAATCTTCTCTCCTTCGGTCTTTTGTTTCACAGGCAATTTCTGAAGTACGGTGTAATGTGCTGACTAAAAAATACCCGAATGAGAAACTTAAAATTTAATTACCTTAGCAAATTCAGATCTCAACCTTGCCATAAATTCTTTCGAATCAATCATTCCATCGCCTTTATCAAATTCGTCCGCAACTTTCTCCATCTCCAGCCTGGTTGTAGGAAACTCTAAAAATCAAACCATAAAATATTTAAGCCTGGTAGTTAAAGAACAAGACAAACTTAATAATTTGGAAAAGAAACTGACTTGATCTCAAAATTTCTTCTATAAAGGCATTTCTGGGTACACTACCAGTTCCACTTTTATCAATTCTTCTGAAGAGGTCAGATATTCTTGCCTTACCGGAATCAGTCCACTCTAAATAGCGCTCGCGCCACTCCTCAAAGGTGAAGGATTCTAACTTTTTGAGCTGAAAGTTACTTACAATAACAACGACAAAATTAGAAGCCATTACAGAATAACTAAGCAGGGCAATATTAAAACTGCAGACACTTTGCGAAAGAATTATCAGTACATACTTCTTCCAAATGATCTTTCAGCTTTCTTAATCTGCTACCGTATTCTACCGAGTCAAGCCATAACCTGTTCCATTTCTCTGACAACAAATCAGCCTTTGGGTGTCGAATAGGTTTTTCTTTTCTGAAGCATAACTTATAACTCGCTACCAATCATAAAAATACAAATCCCAACTGAAAAGTTTTTTACTCCCATTTAAAACAACGGCAGAAAAGAATTTAAATCGCACTTCAAATTTGGCTTCTTGTGTTTGGTTGGCGCATCTAGGTCCATAATAGGTAGCCTACGCCCTATTGTAGCACTACTCACTTCACTCTGCTTCTCACGCAGCGTGTTATCGAACTGTTCGTGTTCATCAATTAATCTGAAAAATAATGCGTAAAGCCAAGTAAAACTGGGTGTTAGCAAGAGAAAACCACGAAATTAGCACCTCTGAACTTCCACCATGTCAAGAGGCAATTCTGCACTACTTAACTCTCTTAGATCAGCATCTTTAGCATTGATAAACTTGAGGAGTTTGGCAATGAGCTCCTCTTGTTCATGAAGGTTAGAAAGTTGCTGCAACAAATTGTAATTAAGCAATAAGACCATAATTTACATGAATTCTGCCCAGCAAACGACTGAAAAAATTTTGAAGTTCACCTTGAAGTGGTTTTATCGTAATAGAAGACAGAAGAAAAAGACTACAAAATTCCACAAGTGAAACAAGTGAGATAACTACCTTTTCCAAGTCAACCCGTTTCGTGTCCGCAATTTGTGACACTTCGTCCCAACGTCCTTGGAGGATTTTTAACCAGTACTTCATGTTCTGCTCAGCATTTGGATGACATTTTGATAAAATTTCTCGACCTGATGCTAGCACTCCTTCGAGCGTTGGGACTTTATCATCAAGTTCTTTGCGTACCTGAGCTACCTCATCCATCTGATCCAATATTTCAGCTTCTGTTTCTGGCTTTTGACCCTATAAATATTTATAAACGCTCTAAGCCTTCTACAAGACAAATCGAGAAAAATTAAAGTAAAAGTAACCCTCATTCTTAATCTGTCTTCAATTCGCGGAAGCCAGTCCAGTATTGCACGAGCTTCAGTGCCAAACGCTTCGGCTTCTTGAAGAGCTTTGGCTAAGTTGTCATTTCTCGTATCTACTAGAGATTCCAACTGCTGCCAATCACCATTTAGTTGATTTAATCTCTCTCGAAGCCCATCAGAAGAATTATCTTCCTCCTTTTTTGAACTAAGCATCTAAAATAACACAAGAGAAATAAACAGTTCAAAGGCGCAAGAATAACCTGTAAGACAGAAGCAAACTCGCACCTGCTCCGCACGTTGTCGAACAGAAGCAAGGGAAGCCTGGCGCGATTTAATCTCTTCTTTCAAAGACTGATTTTCTTCAACAAACTGATTTACGGTTTCTACGTCACCGTACACAGACTCCCTACTTCGACCTTCAACAACAGGCAGGGTCTTTTCAAGCCATTCTCTTAACGAAGACAAAGCGTCGTCAAACTGCCCACTTTCTAGTAGCGCTTCTTCAATATCACGCTGTCTAAAAAAATCATGCACAAAAATGTAGAGTTTAAAATCAACTGTCCACGAAGGCCGTAATGTAAAGTGAAAACTTCTAGTAATTTAAAAATACGGTTCTATAAAATTCTATCCCTACAGCCATGTCCTGTGAGTTCATAGGATTTCAGAATAAAATCGTTTACCTTTGCACCGAAGCAGTACATAACTGCGCCCAGTGGCTGCGAAGCTCCTCATTCATATCACCAATAACTCCTTGCTCGCCTTTTGGAGCATGATCCACGAGCGTTTTGCCTCGTTTAAAGGTTGTATCAAAGATAGGTTGACGATTAGCCAATTCTCGTTGAAAATCTTTGTGACGATCCAGTGCTTCACGAATATTTTCTCCAAAAAGAGTCTAAACACTTGACGTATGCAAAAAAAAGAGAAAAAATAACTGTTACGAAACTAGTCAGACCTCTGCATTATTCTTTTCGATCCACTTCAAACTCTGGTCAATCCAATCCATAAGACCTGAATGACCTTCAAAATACACAGTCGATTCTTTAGAAGCGTTATCAAGCTGTTTAGTTCTATCTGCACACCGAGAAACTATTTTATCCAAGCGATGCCTGGCAGAAACAAGGTTATTCTTAATAGGAATAGCGTCTTTCTTTTCGCAGAGGTACTGCAATTTTGTGCCTCTGCTTTTCAAGTCTGCCATTAGATCTCTCTGTCTGGCCACCTAAATCAAATATAGAAAGGTTTACTTTTCTGTTTTTTGTATCACAATTCACAACAACTGACTATAAATCACAAGTTACCTCTGCTTCAAAATTTGTTTGTTCTACAATCTGGCTCTGTAAGGTAGAAAGAATTCTCGAAATGGGTTCAACTCTTCCCAACTTCGCTTCGGCACTCGTAAGCCAATCATTCATAGCGTTCATAGCTGCACTTAACTGTTCTGCATCTGCCAAAGCAATCCGCAATTTCTGTTCTTTATCGCCAAGTTTCTCTTGTATCTTTAAAATAAGAGAGAGTGAAGCAAATTTATAAAAAGTTGAAGTCCCATTCTGAAATATTATTTCATCTATTTTTACTTGTGTCCACTTCTTCCTTAACTGCATCTGTTTTTGGGCAATCCAGCTGTCTTTGTTGCCAGCATTATCAGAAAGATAACTGTCTCCAGCCTCCAAATGTGCCTCTAATTCAGGACGATTCTGCTCAATTTCAGCCTAAAGTAACAAATGATTGATTACGATATGAGTGAAGTTGTAAAGAGTAAACGACCTTAAGGACAAGAAAGTCATCAAGTTGAGCTCTAGCGGTTTCTGGTAAACCAGCCAATGGTTTCGAATGTGAAAGATCAGCATCTTTGTCTTGTAACCATAATGTCCATTTGTCCATTTCACTACCCAAACTTTCTGCTGCCTCTCTTGCTCCGGTCAGCTGTAATTTTTGGATACAGCGAAAATTACTTCACAGTTTTAATATACATATAAATATTTTTACAAAAACAAAAGTTTAACAGTCAAAGAATTCTATACCTGAGTCCATAAATTATCAAGTTTATCAGCCAACATGTGCCACTGTGCATTAAGCTCATCGATCATTGGCTGTGTAGCAGACGTCGAATTTGGATCTGCGGCTATAATTCTCTTAGCAGCATTATTCAATGTTTCAACACTAGCCTCATGTGCACGTATATCATTCTGAACTACTTTATACTTGCAGACTTCAATTTCTGCCTGCTTCAAACTCGTAGGTCGAGGATCTATCTGTAAACATCTCCAATAATATTGTTTGGAAATGCTTTAAGACAAACTGATCCAGTTTAAGACTGCGGGAAAAGGAAGAGACAGTAAAACTAATCCAAAAACAAACTTCTTCAAGCGTATGATTAGTCTTCTCAATCCATCCTAAAAGTTGTTCATAAGCCTGCGAGAATTGCCCCATTTCCAGAAGCGCCCTTTCCATCTTTTGCTGCCTTTCATTAAGAGTCGTATAGAGCTGAAGTGAAAATAAACTATTATAATACTGTATTAAGCAAAATTCTATAAAAATGCAGCCCTTAAAATGTTAAATACAAAAGACTTACTCTGTTCCACCTATTATTCAAATCGTTTATCGGCGCTCGAATAGTTGCACACTGCTGAACAGTAGCCCCAACACACAAATTAGCGCAAAGCTGGTTAAGGCGCTCTTTTTGCACAACCTTTTCGTCAAGTATTGTTTTCAGAACATCCAAAGCAGCCAACTAAAACATATCGTAGGTAAAAAACTGAGAAAGAA